AGCACCGAAGTTAAAAAGTGCACTGGAGGAGGAGAAGGAGGAGGAGGAGGAGGAGGAGAAGGAGGAGGAGGAGGAGGAGGAGGAGGAGGAGGGGGAGGAGGAGGAGGAGGAGGAGGAGGAGGAGGAGGAGGAGGAGGAGCAGGAGGAGGAGGAGGAGGAGGAGGAGGAGGGAGGATGAGGAGGAAGAGGATGCTGAGGACGAAGTGAAAGAAGGGGAGGGGGGGGAGGAAGAGAAGACGAGGATCGGGTCAAGAAGAGGGGGAAGAGGAGGAACTGGGAAGAGCAGTGGATGAGGGGGAGGAAGAGGTGGAGCATGATGATGCTGCTGATGATGCTGCTGCTGATGATGATCATGATGCTGATGAGGATGATGACTTGTAGCTGGCCCATCGCCATGTGTACGGGACCCTGTGGCTCCACTGGGGATGGTGGAGATCATGATGATGCGGTGTTGATGGTGGTGGTGATGGTGATGGTGATGGTGATGGTGATGATGTTGTTGATGTTGTTGTTGATGATGATGATGATGATGATGATGATGATGATGATGATGATCCACAGCTCACGTCGGTGGTTCCAAGATGAGGTCCCGAGGGATGGGGGCCTACGAAAAGGAAGGGATCCTGAGGGTGGATCTGCGTGGCCCGAGGCACCTCGCCCCCCAGGACTCCATGCCCGAGGGCCCCGCCTCTGAGCCACGACCTGCGGCCCAAAGGGCTCAGGGGGCGCCGAGGAGCCCACGGGAGCCGCAGGCTGCTCCGTGGCTCCCCTCGGGCAGCGCCCGCCCTCGGCTCCGGCAGCGCGCGCCCCCGCCTCCCGCCCTCTCTCCCCCCCCTCCGAGCAGCGTCGGCTCCCGGCAGGCCGCGCCTCCTTCGTGCGCCCCAGCTGGGAGAGGACGTGGCCCAGCGGCGAATCCGCCCGCCCCGCCCCGCGGGGCCGAGGCCTCGCGGCCCCCACGTAAACATGCGAAGCTCGGAGGTCCGCGTGGACCTCTCGGCTCGGCGCTGGGCCCCCCTTGGCGGCGCCTCTGGCGCCGCCCCCGGCGCGCCGAGCGCGCCGGGGGAGGGGGGGGGGTCCGGCGCCGATCCGAGAAATCCGCGCGGTCCTCCGAGTTTTTATGCTCATGTCACTGCTCGTTCCCCTCCCCTGCCCTCTTAGAACGGGCGGCCCGAGCAGAGATACGGAGGGCATTCACGCCCCTCTTCGGGCCACGGGGCCCTCGCGGATCGACAAGCTCAAAAGAGCAAGCAGGCAAATGATGTCGATAACTGCGGAGGCCATGTTTTCACGACGCCGTGCTTATCCATGGCTTCGGCCTCTACTGCGTCTGCCTGGGCTGCTACCTCTACCTCCGGTGTCCTCTATCCTCGATCTTCCTCGTCCCTCCTCATCCCTCCTCCACCTCATGTCCTCCTCATTCTCCATCCCTGCATCATTCTCAGGCTGATGCGCAGCATATGCTCTGGCGGTCCCAGCTGACGCAACCTATCTCGAGGAGAAGGAGGAGGGGCGGGGATGAGTGAGGAGGGGGGGATCTCTCTCTCTCTCTCTCTCTCTCCCTCTGTTTCAACCATGGGGTCGTACACACGCGGCCATTCCAGGGGCGTTCGCCATAGCGAGGACTTAGTCAAACTGGTGAGCCAGGCGACTCCAGAGACGGCCGCCCCTGGAGTCGCCAGCCAAGGAAGATACAGGTAAAAGAAGCAGCAGACTCGGGAGGAGGGAAAAAGGAAGACGAGGAATATCAAGACTAACCTGAAGGATAAGAGGAGTAAGGGGTGGGGCGACTGTGGCGGTGTGGCGCGCTGCTTCTGGTCTGGTGGGCCGTGGAGGTTGGAGTGGGTGTCGACGACGCCGCTGGGCCACGTTGAGAGCCGCTCGCATGGAGGGCGGGAAGGCGCGGGGGCCTCTCCCCCATCATCCCATAGGAAACCCCAGCGAGACGACCTCCATCCCCACCAGGGGAGCCCCCACGAGAGTGGGGGTGAGGGTCGCCCAGGGGCTTCCGCCGGGCATTGGGGAGGCTTGCGCCTTCCCGTGGCGGCGGCCACGGTTGGGAAGGGTGAGCTCTTCCCGTGGCGGCGGCCACGGCTGGGAAGGGTGAGCTTGCGCAGCTGGGTCCGCACTCGCCCAGGGGAGGATGAAACACTGGCCTCTCCCCTCGCCCATGGTGGATCCCAGCGGGACGCCTCCCACTCGCGGCCAGGGAGCCGTCACCCGCCGAGGCGAGCGAAGGGTTACCATGGGCGCGACTGGGGGGTACCCAGGGATCCCCACTGGGCAAGGGGAGGTTGCGCCATCCTGTGGCGGCGGCCCCAAGGTGACAGTGTAGCTTACCTCCACTCCAGAATATCCTCCCTTCCATTGCGAGTGCTGTGGATAGTGGCTAGCACTGTGGTGGCAGGTGAAACATTGGCGGTGAGGCAGGAATGGGTCAGGCACAAGCTGCAGCAGAGTGGGAACAGAAAGGTCGTGGTCGAGTTGCGCAGCTTACGGTCGGGGCATGACAGCCTGCGTTGCACATAATGCTGCACACGGCTGTAGGACCCCCATCCGACGGTATCCCCCCGGTCCAGTCGCCGAAGCGGTGGCTACTCTGGCTGCGCGGCTGCATGCTGAGGTGCGCGGAGATAGGCAAGAGACAATGGCAGCGGGGCTGACATGGGGCGTGGCGGTACCAGAAGCGGTGCGCGAAAGTGACAGCCTAGTAAATTGCAACATGTCTGCAATACGCTGATGGCTTCTGGCTGGAAGCGCGGTGAAATAATGGGGATAGGAACATGTGAGCGGCAAACGTTGGCAGTGAGATGGCACGCTGTATCGCCACTAAAACTGGCGGTGAGGAATGGAAAGGCAACGCTGCTGTAAGCTCTTGGGTAGGACAGATGGTGGGTGAAGAGGCTTTGATGTCAGCTGCGTTGGTGCCTGCAGCCGACTTGGCCGTCGCCGAAGGCAACTTGCGGCGAGGCTCCCATCCCCCCACCTGGCTAACCCCCTCACCCGTTCCGCCGCCGCACGGGTGTGAAGGAGTATATGTTAGCATGTGAAAGGTCTGTGTGTCTGTGTGTGTGTGTGTGTGTGTGTGTGTGTGTGGGCCGCCGCGCGGCCGCCCGCGCTGCGGGAGCGGCTGCCGCTGGCGCTCCCGGCGCCGCGACGGCCCCTCCGCCCGCCGCCTGGGGTGCCGCGGCGGCCCCCGCGGCCGCGCTGCAGCCGCCCGTGCTCACGCCCCCCGCGCCGCCGGCGGCGCCAGGCTCGCCGGCGGCGCGGGCGCCGCCCGGGGGCCGCGGGGCTTGGCGCTGCCCTCGGCCGCCTGGCGCCGCCGCCAGCGGTCGCTACGGCGCCGCGCCGGCCGCTGGCCGGCGCTGCGGCGGCCGCGGCCTCCGGCCGCTGCGAAGCCGTCGCCGCGGGGCCGTGGTGCCCCGCGGGACCGCCGCAGCCGCCGTGACGCCGCGCCGCAGCGCTGTCGCCTGCCGCCGCCGTCGCGGCCGCGGCCGCGGCCGCGGCCGGGGCGGCCTCTGCCGTCGCCCCGGCCGCCCGCGCCGCGGGCGGCGTGCCCCGCGAGCGCGTGCCGGGCGCGCTGGGCCCGGCTTGCTTGGGATCCCGCTGGGCATCGAGATCGCGGACAATCCGGACGACCTCGATGCGACCTCCGAGGTTCCCGCGGCGGGCTGGGCGCAGATCGTGGCTTGCGGCGTCTCCGACGAGTTGCCCCAGGACGAGTCCACTGGCGCTGACGTTCAGCGAGGCCAGGGACAAGCAGAGGCAACGTGTGCGTTGCGACCGCGCCAACTTCCCGAGCTCTTCCTGGCCTCCTGCGCCACGAGGCGGAGCGACGCGCTATCCGCTCGCCGGGCAGAGCGTGTCGCTGGGCCGCCTCCATCCGCCGCGGCTGGCGACTTCGGCTTCAGTGCGTCGACGTCCAGCAACGCTGGTGAGCAGCAGAATGAGTTGGCGACCGAGAGTGCCGACGGTCGTATGGCCATGACGGCGGACATCGACGTGCCCCATGCCCCTCCAGGGCGGCCTGTTCTGAGAGTTACTCGCGTGTAGCATGAGCAAGGTGTCTAGAAACATATGCTTGAGACATCTATTTTTTATTGCTGTGCTGGTTGCGTGCCCTTTTGTCCGCGCCAAGGAGGCGCTGGGACGGTCGGTATGCCGAAATGGGTCAAATGCCCCCGGTGTGTCCGGGTGGCGCCGCTGTCCCGGCGACCTTCACGGCGCCTCCTGTCTGTGGGGCCCTGGCAGGCGGCCGACATCCCAAGGCCGGCATGGCGTGACCCTCACCACCCCACGCCCTGCTCCTGGGGCCGCGGCGCCGGGTCGAGGGCTGGCCGCCTCGACCGGCGCGTCCACAGACCGCCGAGACGGACAGGAGCTACTACTGCGCTTTACTGTTTTCGTGCGCAGATGAATATGTCGACCCACGGATGCCCAGGCCTCCCGGCCGGGTCGCGGGGCAACGGGTTGGCTGCATGGGATGGAGTGACATCTATGACACTCAGATCTGCTGCGCGAGCCGACGCGGCAAAACCCACGCAGTGCACAGCGGATGGACTCCGTGTCCGCTGTGCGCATTGCGCCCTGGGTTTCTGGTTCCCTTGGCGTTTTTGGCTCAAGGCTCCTGCCATGGCGGCGGGGCATCACTCGACAGTCACTGGGCCGGGGGCGGTTGATGTCTTCGGGCATCTCCCCTGGCCACACACTGGTCGTTTGCGCTGGGGGGCGCCTGACCACCGCACCCTGGTGTCGGTGGAGCGTGTGATAGTGTGGGGCGTTTCGCTGGTCCTAAGGTGTCCACCTCGCGTGTCCGAGCGGACCATGGAAGCCGTAGTGGCCGGTGCCGTGGGGGGGCCGAGGGGGGCCTCAAGGGGGGAAGGGGGGGACTAGGCGGGGGAAAGCAAAGACCTCGACGACCTCCAGCGAGGGGGCGAAGTCGACGTGAGATGTGGCAGCTGACGCGGGCCGCGACTAAACGCAAGGTCCAAACCGAGCTGGCA